GAATTCCCTGATTGGTTTTACCTTTTAGTCTTGTCCAGGTCCAGCAGCACAAGATCTTTGAAGCTCTGTTGGAGAGAGTTTTCAAAGTCAGTTATTGAGGTAGTTTTAGATGTAGGTGGTGCTGCTGAGTTAGGAGGATTTAAGGGAGTAGAGCTGCAGAGGAAGTCAGTCACTGGATTTGAAATCTGTTATATAAAAACAAATACACAAACAAACAAACACAAACACAAACACACACACACACACACACACACACACAATTTTAGGAATATAACAAACACCATATTTATTTATTTATTCCTTTGAGTGAGTAATATTTAAGAGGTATATTACATCAAATGTAAATATAAAAATGTATGAGAAAATGTTTTCATCTTTTTTTCTGCGTCCATAGAAGTAAAATTACTTCCTCTTTTCTTTTTAGTGAAACATCATAAACAAAGAATGGTATGAAAAGAAAAGCAAAATAAATCAATAAATCAATAAATAAAAGATTATTATCTATGTGCAGTTTTTATTGGCATTTATGTGCTTTTTTTGCATTTGAGATTTACACTGCTAAAATATCACTGCTATTTTCAAAAATCAAGATTAAATCAAATAACCATAAGAAAACTAATAATCAATAGTTATCTATTTCAATTAACAGAAGCCTGACTTTAAAAAAATAATAAAAAAATAATAAAACAGACAAATAAATGACTACTAATACTCATTTTACGAGAATAGTAAATAAAATGCGGATTTTCTGAACAACATTGTTTTAATTATGTTCACTAGTCTTACTTGTGAAGAAATCCACTGATTGCTTTGAGCTTCCTTTGTAGTCTTTTCTGCAGATGTCCTTGAGTTTGAATCCAGACTACCAAGGCCTGAAAAGTAGTGTTCATTTTAAGCTCTAAGATTCATTTCTGTAAACTTAACTAACCCTAAAGATATATATATATATATATATATATATATATATATATATATATATATATATATATATATATATATATATATATATATATATATATATATATATATATATATACACATATACATTTATAAGATTACACTACTATTCAAAAGTTTGGGGTGCCTACATGTTGGTGGTGCTCAGTGTTGCCAGATTGGGTGGTTTTGAATTTAATTGTGCAGGTAAAAAAATAGCATTGGCGGGTTGATAAAATTTGGGCGGTTTTTAAACTTAACTTTTATATACAACTTTTTAAGCAAAAAATAAGAAAAACTGTTTGCTCCTACTCCATTCAGTTAGTAGTGACCAGTGCATGGCGCAAACCGTGTGGGCCCACCGGCAAAAAGAGATCAAGGAAAGTTGTGTGAAAATCTGACTCCCCTTCGCGTGCACGCACATTACACAGCGCCTGCAGTGAAACCATAGAGTTAAACTAACAGTGCTTGATCATGACATTTTTTCTATCTTTTTTTTTTCACAACTGACAGCAAGAACAATCATAGATGCGTTATTCAATTGACAAGCAGCACCTAATTATGTTCAAAAGAATTTAAAACAGCAAATAGGATGAATTTATACCCCATTTCGAAAGTAAAACACTCCAACATTAAGTGCAGTGTGTGGGTGAGAGGGGTGTTGGTTGCTGTATGGTTAAAATATATGACTTTAGTTAAACTAGGTTAATTCTGATTTAAATAAATTATAATTAAGTAAAATCTTAATCTTAATATTTTGGGTGGTTTTTGTGCGTTTCGTTGAAATGCAAAAGTCTGCTATATCTGGCAACACTGGTGGTGCTTAATGTGGAAATGTCAACCCCAAACTGTCTATGAATTTTATATTAAATACATCCTTAAAAATATACCCATCATCCATGAAAAAACTCCTAATTATTTACCAAAAGAGCCAAGTTCTTCATCTAAAAGAGACAGACTGCTGGGAAGCTGGCTTGATGGAGGACTGGTTTGGAAACTTGAGGATCCTGATGACGTGTTGGAAGAGGAAGGTTGAGCTCCCATTAAAGACGTAAGAGTGAGAAGGTCAGCTGCTGGAGAATCTGAGTGCTGAGGTGGAGTCAAGCCATGGCGGAGGGGTGAAGGAGTTCCTGATCCCAAATCTGCTAAATCAATCAAGATCTCAGAAGAGCTTCTGTCATTGATACCTAAACAAACAAAAAAAAACAATCAATTAAAAACATATCAAACTGCAGTTTCAAAATTTGAGGACTGTTGCACAAAACAAGTTGATCAAAATCTGGGTTGCAGAGTAAGTTTCTGCATTAACAAAACAAACAAATCCAGCATCGCTAACATCAGTTTTAATGAATTCACAACACTTTATATAAACTGTCTCTGTCCAACTTGATGTTTAACGTTGTGTTTGTGAATAACTCTGAATAGCATGCAGCTAAAAGTAAGACAAATGTAGCAAACAGCCAATCACAGTACACATGAGAGGGTCAGTTTTAATGATTTCAGTCAGTGCAATTCACATCTCTTTTGAAGATTGCGAGACACCATTATCAAATATATTATAAATATAATCTCATTGAAAGGGCAGAAAGCAACAGAAGTTTGAAAACGCAACTTCAGGCAAGTATTATTATATCAATGCAAATCAATCCACTGATTTTAATAATGTAGGTTCATGTCATTTTGTTTTATGTAAAGCCATTAATAATGTTAATTGACCATTCACATCTATTTGAATATATAATATTAAATAAAATACAAGTATAAACAATAAATAGCATACTATAAATACATAAAAAATTACTCAAAAATGCTTTTAGTGTAAAAAAAACTTTAATTTGGAGCAAAAAAGATGCTCTGGGACTGGGAATGGCTTTGTTGCAACAGAAATAGGTTACTTTACTCATAGTTGATTGGTCCAGTTTGCATTAGCCCAGAATAAAACCTGCTCTAGAGCATGTTAGTCATGTAGCGCATGTTACTGTGCACAATATAAACAAACTCTCTTAGGTAAAAACCCAAACTGGCTTTGTGCAACAGGCTTCTTTAATTTGATGAACCATGAAAGCACTTTGGATAATTCAAATGCAGTATACTAAAATTGATATTTTTAAAGCGTAAAGTGTAATAGATCTAATATATTATGCAATACATACATCCTGAGGGTGTTGATGCTGGTACGTCAATCACAATGGTCTGTCCTTCAACAATCTTCTTATAGGAGTTGATTACTCGTGAGAGATCATCACTAGCGTGCAAAATATCACCTATAAACAAGACGATGGCAAAGTTAATCACAGTAAAGAGGGGAAGTTCTTTTTGATCTACACTAATATTAGTTTTATTGGCAGATGTGCATTACCTAAGGCACTGTCATCATCCTCTGTCTCGGTGGCGAGTCTGAAGACAGCAGTTCTAAGGTTGTCACAGTCATTATAAAGGTCCTATGAATACAATACAAGTCACACACAGTCAGTTACTGCACATTTAAATGGCAGCTTAAGACCAGAAGTGACTAGATAGAAACTCAAGTGTCTCGCCTTTAAAAGTTCTTTGTCTTCTTGTGTTGACTCATCCGTTTTGAAATGGCTTAGCATCTCATTAAGGAGCTTCACACTGTTGTTCACCTTCTCTAGGGTGCTGACACGATTGGAAACTTTTTGCTGTAAAGCCTCATCCTGAAAGAAAGTCGAGTAAGGAATGATATATTTGATGAATGCAAATGAATTCTGTCAACTGCAGACGAAACAATAAAGATATAATGCATGTTAATTAATTCAAAATTACATGAGATTTGATTCCAGGTTATTGTGTGCCGGTTTGCATAATAATACTAATTAAAAAGGAAAGTCATCAAGTTTAAAAAAAAAAAAAAAATTATGAAACAAGTATATGTTCTGTATGCGCTTTTTCTTTGCATATACTTTAAAAGTACATTGGTTTCATTTCAGTCTGTTATGCTGAAAGATGAAATATCCTTTCCCCCATATTTAAGTTGTTTAAAACATTAAATATGAGATCGGTCACTTGTATTTAATATGCTTTTTATGTTTATATAATCTCTTCTCAATTTATTCTGATGCAGAGATTCAGTTGAAGCACTGAGCTGTATTTTTCAGTTCTGGTTATTCTGGCGATAAAGGCTTTGACAGAGGAGAAAAAATAGATAAATAAACAATTCAATAATTAAATAAATAAATCAAATTAATGAATTCAATGACACGTTTTCTATCATAAGGTTGCATTTAATCGATAAAATTAATTTTATTTCTGATATATTTATAATTAAATTTCATGTAACAGTGTAAAAGTTGCTTAGACTTTTATTGCAGTATGCTGATGTACTTCCAACTAAAGTGCATTACTTAGTAAAGGCGGGGGTTTTTTTTGAGCATCATCCCCTTAAAGTTAACTACTGCTTAGTGGGTGTGGTTAAGAATATTATGGCTTAAGCCATCAAACTTAATTCCTCAAAGAAGGACTCCCAAACCAAACATGAAATCAAATGGTCAGACTTCATTGAAGTAAAAAAAAAACAACAAAAAAAATTCTTCATTTGATTAACTTGGAAGAAATATTTATACAGCTTAACAATATAAACATTTTAAATTTTGATTTCACATGAATTTGAAATGTTTTTAACAAAGTTGCTTCACAGCTTAGAAATATTTTAAAAAACAATTCCACACACAGAGAAAACAACATAAACAACAACACTCATTCAAATAAAAAAAATCATATTACATCACAGCAGATCCCTGTAGATGTGTCAAGGTCACTTCTGTATGTCTCTTAAATTATCAGAAAATGTCATGTGGTGTGACTCCTCAAAAATATGACTACTTTTATTAAAAACTATTTTTAATTTAAACAAAATGGAAATAAAACACAATATTACATTTTACATTACATTCTTTATCTTTATATATTCATTTTTTATACAATTATGGTCTCCTCACCTCTTTGACCATGTTCTTGATGATGCGGTTGGCTTCTTGAAGATCCTCTGGTTTCTTACTCTTAAGAAGTTCTGCAAGACGCTGGAAAGAATTTTTTTCATACAGAACTATTAGATTTACTGTTCACGCTTATGACAATTTAAGCTCAGTCAACATTTTGTCGCTACACTTGTATTATAAAGCTTTCCACTAAAAGAAGTTAAGAAGAAATTTTGACAAATTAAAACAATTTAAACAAGTTATCATGTGTGGTGTTTTGTGATAACATAGCACAAATACTGCCAACCGGACTTAAACTATATTAAACTTTAAATATTGCCTTTTTGGATTCTTCACCTTACTCTTTTCTTCATTGTCAAACACTGGATTTTTGGTCTTTGGCGAAGGAATAAGGGTCCTATCCACATGAACTTCTGGGTCTTTTGTTACAATGCCTAAAATGTTGGAAAGAAGCAGACATAAGACAGAAAATAAGTAGGAGAGATCTTTTACACATCAGTGTTTATGTTTGTCATGAAACAACCTTGCTTCTTTAGCATGTGATAGGCTTCTGCGATTTTTGCCTCATCTGGTAAAGCAACTGAGCAGTTGTAGAGCAGCTCTATTACTTTAGTCTTCACTCTTTCAGATACTCTGTCTCCCAAATACTGCAAGATAAAAACCACAGCAAGATTGTATCATTTGTATTATTATAAAGAAATGAAAACCTCTACATGAGTAGTATTCGCTGCAGTAAATAGACAGCACAACTTTAAATTATGTAATTATCCTTTAACTTACCTTAGGTGAAACTAATTTTATGAGTTCATTTAAAAATCGAAATTTTCCAACTTCATTATGAAACCTTCCCCCACAGTTCTTCATGCAAGCTTCCAAAACCTGAAAAGACAATCTAAAATCAGCCACTGACTATTTTAAAAATACAGGTTTTGCTAAAATTCATTGGTGGCATCAGATGAACTCACCGTTAGTGCTTGTAATGACTCCCATTCTTGTGGTGACTGGATTTTATGTGCTAATAACCGGACAGATATCTGTGGGCTGCAAAAAACAGATACAAATTTCATATTTACATAGTGTCCTAATGCTCAAGACGACCACTTAGGAAAGGTAAGCATACCCCTCAAGTTCCTTATTGATTTGATCACAGAACCCAATGATGTACTCCCACTCCTCTTGTCTGTTGGATGGATTTGTGGCTTTGTCTAACAAGAGAAAAGAAAACAATACACTAATATCACCATTTTCAAATGCCAATTAAACTACATAATTTGCTCTTATGTTCACTCTTTTGACAAACATACAAATGAATATATATTAATCATACAACAACAATTTCCTGTTAAAATATCTAAAAAATAAACAAGACAAACAAGAAATGTATTGTTTTGTCAAATTGTTAAGTGTCTGTTAAAGCAAAGGTCACTGCATGTTACTTAAGAAGTGTTAAAGACTTCTCACTATCCATTTATGTAGTCAACTATTTGTTAATAAAATTTTCTCTCAAAATTTTCTCTCAAACAGGCTAAATCCGCTCCATGCAATAATAATGAAAAAACAACAACCCACAAGTAGAACACTGCATTGTAGTGTGTGTTTATTGTACGGTGCATCTGGAAAGTATTCACTTTTTTCACATTTTTTATTTTACAGCCTTATTCCAAAATGGATTAATTTAATTTATTTCCTCAAAATTCTACACACAATACCCCATAATGACAATGTGAAAAAGATTTTTAGAAATTGTTAGAAATTTATTAAAAATAAAAAACCTGAAAAATCACATGTACATAAGTATTCACAGCCTTTGCCATGAAGCTCTAAATTGAGCTCAGGTATTCTGTTTCCAGTGATCATTCTTGAGATGTTTCAGCAGCTTAATTGGAGTACACCTGTGGTTAATTCAGTTGATTAGACATGATTTGAAAAGGCATACACCTGGTCTAAGGTCCCAGGGTTACCAGTCATGTAAAAGCACAAACCAAGCATGGCAACAAAGGAATTGTCTGTAGACCTCAGAGACAGGATTGTCTCAAGGCACAAGGCTGGGGAAGGTTACAGAAAAATTTCTACTGTTTTGAAAGTTCTAATGAGCACAGTGGCCTCCGTCATACATAAGTGGAAGATGTTTGGAATCACCAGAACTCTTCCTAGAGCTGGTCGGCCATCTAAGCTAAGTGATGAGGGGAGAAGGGCCTTAGTCAGGGAGATGATCAATAACTCTATGGAAACTCGGTATGAGCTCCAGCGCTCTTCTGTAGAGAAAGGAGAACCGTCCAGAAGCACAACCATCTGTGCAGCAATCCACCAATCAGGCCTGTATGGTAGAGTGGCCAGACGGAAACCACTCCCTGCCTGGAATTTGCCAAAAGGCATCTGGAGTCGTCTCAGATCACAAGAAACAAAATTCTCTTGTTCGTTAAAACTAAAATTGAACTTTTTGGAAAGAATGTCAGGCGCTTCGTTAGGAAAAAACTAGGCACTGCTAATCACCAGTCTAATACCATCCCTACAGTGAAGCATGGTAGTGGCAGCATTATGCTGTGGGGATGTTTTTCAGGAGCATGAACTGGAAGACTAGTAAGGATAAAGGGAAAGATGAATGCAGAAATACAGAGACATACTGAATGAAAACTGCTTTAGAGTGCTCATGACCTCTGACTGGGGGAATGGTTCATCTTCCAGCAGGACAATGACTCAAAGCACACTACCAAAATAACAATAGATTGGCGTCACAACAACTCGGTGAATGTTCTTGAGTGGCCCAGCCACAGCCCATACCTAAATCCTATTGAATATCTCTGGAGAGATCTGAAAATGGCTGTACACAGTCACTTCCCAAAGACAGGTGTGACAAGCTTGTAGCATCATATTCAAAAAGACCTGAGGCTGTAATTGCTGCCATGGGTGCATTAACAAAGTATTGAGCAAAGGCTGTGAATACTAGTTTGTACACGTGAAATTTATATTTGGTAAATTTGCAATAGTTTCAAAACGTCTTTTTTTCACATTGTCATTATGGGGTATTGTGTGTAGAATGTTGAGGAAGTAAATTAATTTTATCCATTATGGAATTCAGCAGTAAAATAAAAAATGTGGAAAAAGTGAAGCGCTATGAATACCTACAGAATGCACCGAATTTAGAGATCAATGTCTGAAGAACACATTTTATCCAATAATATTTACAAATAAAAGTGCATAAGAATTTGTCGCTCTTCAGTAAACAATGCCAAGTTTATTAGAATGTGTACGTACACTGTTTACATTAAGAACATTTTACAGTATACCACTTATATTATACAAACCGTGGTGTTTTATTTGAAAAAGAAGCAACCGTTTAAAGGCCAACATTATAGAAGTATGAACTATGCTATACTATAACGTTAACGTCACTGTTTTATGCAAAAGCGACATTATTTTGTGGTTGACAGAGGAGCTTGCTAACCACAACTAAATCTAGTGAGCTGCCTAACCAGATTTTAAGGGGCACAAAAAGATCCAAATATTCTGCGGACTTGTAAGGCACAACATATATAACGTTAAATGCGAAGACTGTCGGAGAAATGTCAGTTAATGGCTTTAATAACGTTACCTCACACGTCAATACAAAAGAAACAACAGCTCACAAATAACATCTGTACTGCACTGCTTATTTTAGAGACGTTAACGTTACAGAGAACGTATAATTTGTATTCTGCTAATGATTTAGCACAACTCACTCAGCCATGACTCCAGTGACTCTCCTTCCGGATCCGCCATGATCATTCAGTTGCACAGCTGACGAGAGCGAGCTACACACAAACACACACACTCCCGTCATGTGACATTCTCGTGAGTGAGTGTGAATTAGCGGCGTAAGGTCTTCCTCATGGTAACTCAAGCACTGGAAAATCCCTCCACATTTTTTTCCACACGACAGCATTTTCTATTATTTTTAATATTAAGTATATTAGATCATTGTATTGTATTATATTGTTTTTTTTCCATATGTGAAATATTCGTATACGATTTATAAATGTTGCCCCAAGAAGATGTTTTTCTATGTAATAACCTGTTATTTTTTAACCATAAAATAAAGGGGAAATGAGAATAACAACGAAACAATCATCACTTTACTCATATAAATGTTTGTTCATTCATTTTAAATTAATGGTTTACTCAAGATCAAAATGTCTTTCAAACCCATTTATTTCTTTCCAATCAATTGAATAATATTATCAAACATATCATTTCTGAAACTGCTATTAGAACAACTTTTGAGAAAGATTAATATATTAAATAAAAAGGCACACACAAGCTTATAAACACAATGAAAATGTTTCATTTTCAATTTTTTTTTTTATTCAAAATAACTTAGCACAACTTACATGAACATGTTTTCAACCATATTGTCTCACACAGCAACTTGAACAATATAAAAATTGTATAAATTAAGAAACAAAGTATTAACCCAGATTAAGACTAGAGAAGCTCCTATTAAGGTTGCAGTAATCCTGTGCTATAAAATGTTGAATGTGTACATACAAAACGTACACGGTGTCAAACCACTAAGAACAATTTGACAATTAAAAATGTAATCCACAAATCAAGAATACTGCTGGTGACAGTTTTACGGCTGGTAGTGATTGCTTTTCTTATTGCATCAAAACTTCATCCAGTGCAGACTCAACACATTGTCCTCAAAAGACCTAAACATTCTGAGCTAAACTGAAACGCTGAACACAACACATGCATATGCATGAACGAGCTCTGCCGTACTGTTACAGTACCCCTACATGGGATCCCATGAAGTACTCTTCAGACATTCTGAGAACACTGAACATTTTAAAACTTTAACAAGAAAGCACATTCTCTCCTCAGTCAGCTACTTCACTGTAGTAATACTTGTGAGCGGTCTCACTGAGAGTCCAGCCACTGGCCCTGAACTCCAGGATCTCTAAGAGCAAGAGTCTTGTCATTGAGCTGAGGTCTTCCTGAAGGAGAAAACCATCTCGCAGCAAGTAAAACAGCTGATTCATGCGCTCGGAATTTGTTTGCTCCAGCTGTTCGCCAACACGATGTAGCTGTACAACCAGGCAGTCCACCTGGTAGAAAATCATTTAATGTCAAAGTATGAAAAATATTTTTAATTATAAACCATATATTATTTTATATTTAAATTATAAAATAGGCCATAACACCACCAGCAACTAAGGAATATCCTGTAAAATGCAAGTACTGTAGTATAAACACAATCCTGATACACTACATTTAAAATAACGACCGAATCTGCTGACTTTGCAGCATGACTTTGAGAACTGAAAATATAACATATAACAAAAAAATAAATAAAAAAACACAAAACATGCAACTAAAATCTAATAAGAACCACTTGTTTTGAAAAAGTTACAATGGGTCTCTCATAAGATACATTGACTAAAAGATGGAAAATATGATTTTACAAATTGCATTTATCTGAAAATCATCTCCACCTTATTGAAAAATATATCACTGAAATTAATAGAAAACTGAATAAATATACAGATTAATACAAGTAAATAAGTAGATTGAATGATGGGCTCAAACATCTGTGGATTTCTGCGTGTGCTGTATGAGCCTAGATGAGTGATGATATGCATGTTTAGGTTAATGCACAGACAAAGACCAACAAGTCTATTTTTCTTAAATGTCAGCTGGAATAGGCACATCAAAATCTGCTTAAGTTTTTCTCAGACTGTTTTATGTGAATTGTGATATAAAAGAATATCAAACACAATTTGTCCTCTTATTTTCTTACAACCTGTAGTCCATAATCTGTCAATCATTTAACAACATCCAAAAATAAAAATTGTTATTAATGCTCAACCTCATCTTGCGCCAAGCCCCAGAGGCATTTGTTCAGAAAACAAATGAAGATACATTTAAGTGCGCTCTCGTTTTACATAAGGTACATTTCCTGCGGCATGATGGGCATCAATTTTAAAAATGTGCATAAAAACATATGCGCATTACTGAGTAACAAACTTTTTATTCGATAAGAAAAAGATGAGCATAAACTACAGTAGAAACACTTTTATCGAACAAATTTCAGTATGCTCATTAAAAAAGTTATTCTTTTATATAAGATCATTTAATGGTAAAAATGTATGTGAATGAACAAACCAGCAGGCTGAGCACACTGTAAAACATCTGAAATGCTGGTCATTCTAAAACATCAGTATTAGTGTTATTATAAGATTACCTCCAAAATTGTAAAGAGCGTCGGCACTCTGCATCTGATGCCACCAAACGCCACCATGCGTTCATTGCCTTCTGAGGCGCAAATCATTAATTAAACAGAAAAAATTCACACAGCTTCTCCTAACGCAGCAAATTCCATTTTTACTTTTGATATTTGGTGCCAAATAATCAGAAAGTGATGATTTTGTTCTGTTTGACTACTTGGATGAAAACTTTATTTGCATGCGATATTCCAGTTATGCACATAAATTTAATTCACATCTTTGGATAGAAACATAGCTATACACAGTAAGGTTCCAGACTCATTTAAAGTACCTCAAAACAGACCATAGGCTTTCAGGGGTCCGTTCTTTGTATGTGGATTACTCAGTTAGCTGGATTTGGATATTGACGATTTGACACGATCCAGGATCGTTTCGTTCTTCAAAGCTGATCCGAGAGTTGTTGTCATAGCAACAGTTATGCTAGCTTAAACCTGATCGGAAGCAGGTTTAATTTATATAAACAGGATTAGATCGGCTCAGTTCAGGCAAAGATAATAAAGAAAGCATGTACCGAATTCTGATATTTTCTTACAGTAGTAGTTATATACACTTGGGAAAATAGTAAACATTTTTAACTATATATATATATATATATATATATATATATATATATATATATATATATATATATATATATATTTATATATATATATATAAAGTTATTAATAAAATGAATAAAGTTATATATTAATGAAACTTATGCAATCTGCACCCCCGTAATGAAAGTACAAAGACTGCCACCTGGTGGTGCAAAGAGAAAACTTATTGGTAAGAACTTTTTAGATCGCTTTAGTACAATTTGTGTATGATAATAATAATAATACAGAATATGTGACTTTAAAAAAAGAAATAATACATAAATGCAGTCATAAACATGTTTTGACAGTTAATATGCCAGTGATTATGCTTTACAAAAGTTGCAGACGCCTTTACCAATATCAAAATGCTTTTGTAAACATCCCGTTATTCTTTATATTGATTAAAAAAATGACTACTATAATAAAGAAAATCTTTTGTAAATGCAGAACTTAATACATTGATATGCATTGAAATACATGATTAATACTGACACATGAAAGTGTAAAGCCTGCCGCTCACAACAAATGTGGAAAGTTATTGCGTGTCATACTTAACAAACGGTTTACTGCTGATTTGATGTAATTTTGCTCACATGGAGAATTGAATATCAATCGGATGATGTCATTACGCTGCTGTGCCGTCAGCCAACCGTTGCATTGCTGATCATGATTTCGAGGATCGATAGATCTGTCCTTCACAAAACACGCAGCGATCTCAGATCAGTTATCCAGACATTCTAATCTGATTCGCGAACTTGTTTGAAGAACCAAATTAGCGAGAGATCAGTAATCGAGATTAAAAGATCCAGGATCTGTCAAATCATCTTAGATCCTTTAAGTGAGGTACGAAGAACAGACCCCAGTGGTTCAATCGGAATATTATCAATCTATAAAAATCCTTTTTCTGTGCATATAAAATAAAAATAATGACTTTATTCAACATTTTCTTCCCCTCAGTGTCGGGCCTCTGACAAATTACCCCGGATGCGTCTGTGCTTTGTTTCAAAGCAGGCATAAGGGGTGTAGATCAGAGCACAATATACTGATACTGAAAAAAAGAAACTCTTGGGTAAAAGCTATTTTTGTTTCATGTGTGCACAAAAGTATTTTTGTAATTTCAAAATATTGCAATATTTAATCACCGAAGTTCTGTTTTGCATATGGTTTGCTTTGAGTATGTTCTCTAGCATTTTTCTGTACTTTAAACAAGTTGGGACCTATGCTGTTTATGAAGAATGAGAGTCAGATTTCAACTAAAATATCAACAACAAAAAAGGTCTCAAAATTTGCAAAGGTCTTAAGGGTTTGTAACAACATAAGGGCAAGTAATCAATAACATAATTTTCATAATTTCTGATTGAGCTCACACTTTAATTTAAATGAAGTTAAGGTTCCAGTTCAACATATTACAACCATATATCCGAAAAAGTTGGGACAGTATGGAAAATGCAAGTAAAAAAGAACTGATTTCTAAATTTACTTTGTCTTGTGTTTCATTGCAGACAATACAGCAGCACATTAGTGTGTTTCTCATGATTTTTTAAATAAACACGTATTCCAATGTTGGTTCTTGCAACACATTTCAAAAAATGTTGGAACAGTAACACATTTACCACTTTGTAATGTTGTCATTCCTTTTCACATTTAACACTTAAAAACATTTAGGGACTGATGACACCAAGTGTTTCAGGTGAAATTCAGATCAGGACTGCAGACAGGCCAGTCAAATACTTGTATCCTTTTCTCCTGCAGCTAAGACTTTGTAATGTGTGAAGAATGTGGCACCCTTGTGCTTTACGCACTAAAATTCCTCCAGATTCCTTGAATCTTTTAATTATGTTATGCACTGTTAAATGTGAAATATTCAAATGTCTTCCTATCATTCTTTAAGGAAAATTAATTTTACACATTTAAATAT